TTTGGACTGATATTGAGGTCTTTCACCCACTTGGACTTGAGTTTTGTGCATGGTGATAGATATGGGTCTATTTTCATTCTTCTACAGATTGACATCCAGTTTTGCCAGCACAATTTGTTGAAGATGCTCTCTTTTTTCCATTGTATACTTTTAGCTCCTTTATCGAAAATCAGGTGTTCATATGTTTGTGGGTTAAAGTCAGGGTCTTCTATTCGATTCCATTGGTCGACTTCTCTGTTTTTATGCCAATACCAAGCTGTTTTCAATACTGTAGCTCTGTAATAGAGTTTGAAGTCAGGGATGGTAATGCCTCCAGACGTTCCTTTATTGTATAAGATTGTTTTGGCTATCCTGGGTTTTTTGTTTTTCCATATAAAGTTGATTATTGTCTTCTCCAGATCTGTGAAGAATTTTGATGGGATTTTGATGGGGATTGCATTGAATCTATAGATTGCTTTTGGTAGAATTGCCATTTTTACTATGTTGATCCTCCCAATCCAAGAGCAAGGGAGGTCCTTCCATTTTCTGGTGTCCTCCTCTATTTCTTTCTTCAAAGACTTGAAGTTCTTGTCAAATAGATCTTTCACTTCCTTGGTCAGGGTTACCCCAAGATATTTTATGCTCTTTGTGGCTATCGTGAAAGGTGATGCTTCTGTGATTTCCCTCTCTGTTTCCTTATCCTTAGTGTATAGGAAGGCAACTGATTTTTTGGAGTTGATCTTGTATCCAGCCACGCTACTAAAGGTGTTTATCAGCTGTAGGAGTTCTTTGGTAGAATTTTTGGGGTCGCTTATGTATACTATCATGTCATCTGCAAATAACGAAAGCTTAACTTCTTCCTTTCCAATACGAATCCCCTTGATCCCCTTATGTTGTCTTATTGCTATTGCTAGAACTTCAAGCACTATATTGAAGAGGTATGGAGAGAGTGGACATCCTTGTCTTGTTCCTGATTTTAGTGGGATGGCTTTGAGTTTTTCTCCATTTAATTTAATGTTAGCTGTCGGTTTGCTGTAGATAGCTTTTATTATATTTAGGTATGACCCTTGTATCCCTATTCTCTCCAAGACCTTTATCATAAAGGGGTGTTGAATTTTGTCGAATGCTTTTTCCGCATCTAATGAAATGATCATATGGTTTTTTTCTTTCAGTCTATTTATATGGTGGATTACATTGATAGATTTGCGTATGTTGAACCAGCCCTGCATCTCTGGGATGAAGCCTACTTGATCATAATGGATAATTTTTCTGATGTGTTCTTGAATTCGGTTTGCCAGTATTTTATTGAGAATTTTTGCGTCGATATTCATGAGTGAGATAGGCCTGTAATTCTCTTTCTTGGTTGGGTCTTTGTGTGGTTTTGGTATCAGGGTAACTGTAGCTTCATAAAAGGAATTTGGCAATGACTTTTCTGTTTCTATATTGTGAAATACGTTAAGGAGTATAGGTATTAGCTCTTCTTGGAAGTTCTGGTAGAATTCTGCGTTGAACCCATCTGGTCCTGGGCTTTTTTTGGAAGGGAGATTTTTGATAACAGTTTCTAGTTCTTCGCGACTAACAGGTCTATTTAGATCATTCACCTGGTCTTGGTTTAGCTTTGGTATATGGTACTTATCTAAAAAAATGTCCATTTCTTTTGCATTTTCCAGTTTTGTGGCATACAGGCTTTTATAGTAAGATCTAATGATTCTCTGGATTTCCTCTGTGTCTGTGGTTATGTCCCCCCTTTCATTTCTGATTTTATTTATTTGCGTGTTCTCTCTCTGTTGTTTAGTTAGTTTGGATAGGGGTTTGTCGATCTTGTTGATTTTCTCCAAGAACCAACTTTTTGTTTCATTGATTCTTTGGACTGTTTTCTGTGTTTCTATTTTGTTGATTTCTGCCCTCAGTTTGATTATTTCCAGTCTTCTACTCCTTCTGGGCACCTCTGCTTCTTTTTTTTCTAAAGCTTTCAGGTGTGCCATTAAGTCCCCAATGTATGCTTTCTCTGTTTTCTTTAAGTGGGCACTTAGTGCTATGAACTTTCCTCTTAGCACTGCTTTCATCGTGTCCCATAGGTTTGAGTATGTTGTCTCTTTATTTTCATTAAATTCAAGGAAGACTTTAATTTCTTTCTTAATTTCTTCCTTGACCCAGGTGTGGTTCAGTAGTTGACTGTTCAGTTTCCATGAGTTTGTCGGCTTTCTGGGGGTAGCATAGTTGTTGCCATCTAACTTTAATCCGTGGTGATCTGATAAGACACAGGTGGACACTGATATTCTTTTGTATCTGTGGAGGTTTCCTTTGTTTCCGAGTATATGGTCAATTTTTGAGAAGGTTCCATGAGCTGCAGAGAAGAAGGTATATTCTTTCCTATTTGGGTGGAGTGTTCTGTAGATGTCTGTTAAGTCCATTTGCTTCATTACCTCCAATAATTCTCTTAATTCTCTATTAGGTTTCTGTCTGATTGACCTGTCCATTGGAGAGAGAGGTGTGTTGAAGTCTCCTACTATTAGTGTGTGTGGTTTTATGTCTGCCTTGAGTTTTAGAAATATTTCTTTTACATAAGTGGGTGCTTTTATATTAGGGGCATAGATATTCAGGATTGAGATGTCATCCTGATGAATTGTTCCTGTTATGAGTATAAAGTGTCCATCTCGATCTCTTCTGATTGATTTTAGTTTGAAGTCAGTTTTGTTGGAAATTAGTATGGCCACACCTGCTTTTTTGTTAGGACCATTTGCTTGAAAGACCTTTTCCCAACCTTTTACTCTGAGTAGATGCCTGTCTTTGTGGTTGAGATGTGTTTCTTGCAAACAGCAGAATGTTGGATCCTGTTTTCGTATCCAATCCCTTAGCCTGTGCCTTTTTATAGGTGAATTGAGACCATTAATATTAAGTGATATTAGTGACCAGTGGTTGTTTACTCCGGTTATTCTTACTGTTTTCGGTAGTAGAGTTTGTGTGTGTCCCTTCTTTGAGTTGTACTGGTGAAGGTTCGCTAGATTCCTGAGTTATTGTAGTCAGTGTTGGCAATGTTGGATTCCTTGGGTTGCGATTTTCCTTCTATTACTTTCTGTAGCGCTGGATTTGTGGCTACGTATTGTTTAAATTTGTTCTTATCCTGGAATGTCTTGTTTTCTCCATTGATAGTGAATACTAGCTTGGCTGGGTATAGAAGTTTGGGTTTGCATCCATGGTCTCTTAGTTTTTGAAGAACCTCTATCCAGGACCTTCTGGCTTTCATGGTTTCCATAGAGAAGTCAGGTGTAAGTCTGATCGGTTTACCTTTATAAGTTACTTGGCCTTTTTCCTTTGCAGCTCTTAATATTCTTTCTTTAACCTGTATATTTTGTGTTTTGATTATTATATGGCGAGGGGATGCTTTTCTTTGATCCAGTCTGTTTGGTGTTCTGTATGCTTCTTGGATATTCAAAGGAATATCTTTCTTTATGTTGGGAAAGTTTTCTTCCATAATTTTGTTAAATATATTTTCTGGGCCTTTGAGCTGTAATTCTTCCCCTTCTTCTATTCCTATTATTCTCAGGTTTGGTCTTTTTATTGTGTCCCATATTTCCTGAATGTTTTGTGATGAGAATTTGTTGGCTTTGCTGTTTTCTTTGATCAGTGCGTTTATTTTCTCTATGGTGTCTTCAGAATCTGAGATTCTTTCTTCTATTTCTTGTATTCTATTGATTATGCTTGTTTCTGTAGGCTCTGCTCGTTGACCTAGATTTTCCGTATCCAGCTGGTCCCCAGTTTGTGCTTTCTTCCTTGCTTCCATTTCAGTTTTCAATTCTTGAACTGTTTCCATTACCTGTTTGTTCGTTTTTTCTTGGTTTCCCAGGGTCTCATGTACGTATTTACTCAATTCTTCAAACTTTTTGTTATACTTCTCATCCATTTCTATAAAGGTGTTTTTTACATATTGTTTAAGGGACTCTATTGCTTTCATAAAGTCGATTTTTTCCACTTCTTCTGTGTTAGGGTGTTCAAGTCCTTCTGTTGTAAGATCATTGGGTTCTGGTGCTTTCATGTTGTTTTTCAGCTTATTGGGAGAATTTTTGCCTTGGCGCCTGCCCATCTCCTCCTATTGATGATCTCTAATTGGTCTTTTAAAACCAGATCAGGTTTCCCTGCTGGCCAGAGGCTCCTCTTGCAAAATTCCCTCGTTCTGTTTCCTGGCTCCTGCCAGGGGCCAAGATCCCTCTCACCCCTCAGACGGGTCTTCAGGAAAAGACCCAGGTTCCCTGTTTGCCAGGGACCTCGCCAACCAAAGGTCTACGTCTTTGATTTCATTGTCCTGGGGCGATCTGCTCTTGGTGTTGCACTGGTCCCTGTCGCCTGCGTTGTCTGCCACTGTGTCAGTATCCGCCGGTCCCGGCCGCTGCGCCAGCTACGTCGCCCGCCGTGCTCATCTGGTTCCAGCCGCTGGTGCCGTGCACGTCCGGTTCCGGCCGCCGCTGGATGTGTTCCTTTTTTGTGTTTTTAATGGTCCTAGGGGTTGAAACAAGGGCCTCACATATTGGAGGCAAGTTCTCCACCTTCCTCATCTCAGTGCTGGCTACAGACTGGGGTCAGCAAGGAGACTTGTGTGTGTGGTGTACAGATGGGAGACATCTGTCCTTAGCCTTGCTTGACAAAAGCTGTCACATCTGTCCAGGTTCACTGGGACAGAGAGGACGTGCTGCTGGCTCTGTGGAATGTGTTCCAGAAAAAGCAAAAGGCTGTGCCAGTACATAAGGCTTGGCATAGGGCTTCCTATTGAGCTTGGAGGGGACATCTCCATGTTGTTGGCCTTGTGAGAGTAGGCACTCCCCATCTTCACTTCCACACGGAGCAGGGCTCAGTTATAGGTGCTATTGACCCACTTGAGCAAGCCCCTCCTCTTCCATGTGGCTTCTGGTGGACCTTCCAGAATGTAAGTCCTATAGCCCCAGGTTTCCCAAGGCTGCTGGAGAACATTAGGAAGCAGGACCTGTGTCCAAGCTTCCTGTGATGCTGACCCTCATCTCTTTCAGATGCATTTCATCTTCTCAGATGAGGCTGTGCTTCTGTTTGAGTTCTGGAGAGTCCACAGTCCTACAGGTAAGAATCGGGAAAGTCAATGCCAGGCGGCAGAAAACCTGGATTCTCTTTATTTTCTGTGGGCAGTGAAGGCACATTGAGCTAGAACTGTGCATTTATTATTCTAAGGCAGGCTGGGAATAATTCAGATGCCTGCTGTGGCAGTTATGCCCTTCCCTACAATGGATGGCCATTGTCCAGCTACAGACTAAGCCGTGAAGTAGAAGAGCACTTTGTTAGTATCTCACCAAGATTCTGTGGGTTGACTATGCTAACTGAGCAGTCTGCACTCAGGGCCTCTCATGCAGTGGAGGGAGCCAGACAGTGGCTGGATACAGTCTTTTGAGGAGAGTTTAGAGTTTTGTCCTGGTTGTGAGCTGCAGCCTCAGCTGGGCTTCATCTGAGCCCCACAGTGGCTCCTCCTATAGTGTGGGCTTCCTCATGGCAGAGTGGCTAGGTTTTAAGAGCAGCTATCCTAAAAAGAACATGGGTGAAATACATGATTTAAAAACCTACCCTAGGGGCTGGGGAAGGCTCAGTTGGTAAAGTACTTGCTGAGAGAGCACCAAGACCTTAATTTGGTTCCTAGCACCCATGTAAAAGACAGGCATGGCAGCATGCCTGAAATCCTTGCCCTGAAGAGTAGAGACAGGAGGATTCCTGGGACTTGCTAGCCAGGCAGCCTATCTTTAGCTTCAGCAAGAGATGCAGTCTAAAAAAAATAAGGTAGAGAGCACTGATGCCTAATGTTGACCCCCGATTTCTACATACATGTGCATGCATACACATGAATATGCACACATATACACATTTACATACAAAAATAAAACCTACACTTGGAAGTTACATAGCATTATCTTCACCTATTGACTGATCCTTAGACCTTCGGGCTAAAAGGGAGGGGACATGGCTCCCATCTCATATTGAAAGGAGGGCATGGGTAGGATATATGGGAGTGAACATCTTTGAAACTTACACTCTATCATAGATACTATAGAATAACCTGGAAAAAATAAGGCAGATGTGTATGAACAGAAGGGAGTCCATGTCCTATGGGAGTTGGATAATGAAGCTGGATGCAAGTGAGTAAAATCAAGGCTATGACCCAACAAGTGCCATCAACCATTTGCTGAAGCAACTCTCAGAACTCAAGGAAATGCTTTACATAGGCATAAATATGTTGAAATAGGAGCGGCAGGGCTGCGTCCCCGGCACCCGGCCGCCCGCATGGCTAGTTTTTACCCAGAAATAATTACAAGGAAACCGTATTCTTTCAAACACTGCCTGGCCCGGCTAGGTCCAGTTTCTTATTGGCTAGCTCTTACATATTGTTCTAACCCATTTCTAATATTCTGTGTAGCCCATGAGCTGGCTTACCAGAGAGGATCTTAACCTGCGTCTGTCTGGAGTGGGAGCATCATGGCGACTCTTCCTCTAACCTTCTTTCTCCCAGAATTCTCTTCTGTATACTCCGCCTACCTAATTTTCTATCCAATAAAATGGGCCAAGGCAGTTTCTTTATTAGTAAGAAATCATTCCCACATCATTTCCCCTTTTTCCGTTTAAACAAAAAAGAAAGGCTTTAACTTTAGCATAGTAAAATTACATATAACAAAACAGTTATCAAGTAAGAATTACAGTTACAATATTTATATCTATTTTATCTCTTATCATAACTAAGGAAAACTATAACTATTTATTCTTCAACTCCATCAAAGACTCCAGAAGGATATAATATTATCTAAGTAAACAAGAAATAAGAAAACTCTAGAAATGACAGAGACATCTCGCTGCCTGGACAGTCACCCAAAGTTCCTCTGTACCGTTGGGGCATCCATCTTCGGCCTACAGGCCCATGGTATCCAGATACATTTCCATGAAGCAGGAAATTTTAAAGACAGTTCAGTCACTTTCTGCTGTGTTCTGTAGAATGTCTTGTAGACTCTTTCATGAATCAGGAACCCCGAAAGACCATCTCACCTTTAGGCAAGTTCAGCAGTCCTCTCTCTGAGGGTTCTCTGTGTCCAGTTTATGCAACAGTCCAGGCAAGAGCAGTTTCTTGCCCAAATGACTATCCAACTCCATAAGGATCCTCTTCGATGCCCATCTTCCTCTTGAAGTAGCTGGTGCTGCCAGGAGCAGACGTGTCTCCTTGTCATGAAAAGTCCTAAGTTATTAAAATATTTTAAATGCCATATTCTGCAGTCTTTGAAAGATATGAAGAATGCCTATCTAATTGAAATATATCTCTATATATCTAGAAAATCTAACTAACATGACTACAAGCTTAACTATTAGCAATGATTATCCATTAACAACCTATATTTCCTAATTATACATTACATTTTAAGTGAACTACATAATCACAATACCTTAATCAAGTTCAAAAATACATATACATATAACAAAATTGACCTTAAAATCCATACCAATGCAAATTATTCATATCTATATCATATCCCCCTTTAAATGTAAAAGAACATTTATAAACAATATTTGGGAACATGGGCGTAGTTTTTTCTCTCCAAACTGCTTCCTGCTGAATGGGGGCACTGTTAATCAGATCATTTAGGGTGTAACCTGTGTGTCAGGTTCATCTCGGTTGGCAGTTGAGTGAAGTAATTTTTTGAGGGTGTTCACAGCAACCTTTCAGGAGGGCGTGGTCTATCATACCATACCGGGATAGATGCAATCCATAGGGTCACATCCTCTGTGGAAACAAAAGAAGACCCTCTCCAAAGCATCATATCCTTAGATCCAAATTTTGAAGTCAAGATACCTTTAGAACATATGTGCAGGTTCAGCTTAGCAGCCCATATAATAAAATGTCTCTTTGTACTTAGCTCCTTCACAGTCAAAAATTTTAAAGAAAACACAATGTACATAATCCAGACTCTCTGTGAATTTTTCATTTTTACGTGGCTTATTTTTCTTTATTTCTCTTAATCTATAACTATCTGTACTTCTGTACTCTGTCTCTTTAAAGACTTTACCCTTTTTCTTTTTAAGACATTAACTTTATTCTTTATATTCTCTTTTTTTCCCCAAGCCTACGTACATTCATCCAACGGTGTCTGAATCTGTTTTACTGTGAATCTGTATTTTTTTTTTTATTATCCAGGAGCATTTCTTAAAATGTTAAGCATTTCTTAAAAACTTAAGTTGCACCATGTATAGGTAATACGGTACTGCCTGTGTCCTGCCCAGTCTAAACCTTAACTGCACGGTTTTAAGGTAATTACGGTAGTTCCTGCCTGAGATCAGCACAGTTCAGCAAGGAGCAGCCGCTCCTGCCTCAGAGTCATTTGGTGCTTTTGAGCTGAGCACAGTTACAGGCAAACAGCAGTTTACATTGGAGCCGCAATCAGCAATTTAATTTTGAGACTGAGTGTGCAGCACAGAAACTCTTTTTATCCAAGTTACAGCCAAATCTGACACGCAGAGCACTGCGCAGTCTGAAAACGCGTCTCTGTATGGCAGCAGGAATCCGCCATGCTCTTCCGCCTGCCTAAGCCTGATTCCGCCATCTGCCCAGGTGTAGGCAGGGAACGCTGAGCCATCGGCAGGTCTCAGAGCAATCTCCTCCGATCCCAAGTGGGAACAGAAACATCCAGTCCCATAAAAGCCTTGAAATGCTTTAAAGCCAGAGTTCACGCTGGCAGCATAGCACCAGGAAGCCGCGCTTTAAAATGACGCAGCTTTTTTTCTCTGCTGCTGTTGCTGAATCAGGAATCTCTCTACAGCATGTCACCAACAAAACAGCAAAAATCTGTGTTAAACTCTGTTTCCCTTATTTTTAAGCCTTCTCAGGTTTTTAAGTGGATTTAGCCCCACGTTGGGCGCCATCTGTTGAAATAGGAGCGGCAGGGCTGCGTCCCCGGCACCCGGCCGCCCGCATGGCTAGTTTATACCCAGAAATAATTACACGGAAACTGTATTCTTTCAAACACTGCCTGGCCCGGCTAGGTCCAGTTTCTTATTGGCTAGCTCTTACATATTGTTCTAACCCATTTCTAATATTCTGTGTAGCCCATGAGCTGGCTTACCAGAGAGGATCTTAACCTGCGTCTGTCTGGAGTGGGAGCATCATGGCGACTCTTCCTCTAACCTTCTTTCTCCCAGAATTCTCTTCTGTATACTCCGCCTACCTAATTTTCTATCCAATAAAATGGGCCAAGGCAGTTTCTTTATTAGTAAGAAATCATTCCCACATCATAAATAAGCCACTAGCCAGTGGTGATCAACTCAGCCTGCAGACCGCCTGTTCCCCAGAATCTAGGAGTAAGGCTGAATGTTCCAATCTTCTTATGGAATACTGGTTCCCCTCTATCCTGAGGTACTGAGCTACTTAGGGCTTCAGCTACAAATTGTTGGCACATATAAGCTCCCACTAGCAAGTGTTTATTGAATACAGGGTATCTTAGTATTTAGCCCAAGCTGGTTGTAAACGCACAGTCCACCTACCTCCGCTTCACCAGTGCTGAGATCACAGGTGTGCACTACCATTCCTAGTTCCAAATGTATTTTTATGCCATAAAGCCTCATAACATACTTTGGATGGACCATTTATTGTGTTGTAAAAACACGGGTAGCATCAGAGTTCATTTTACCTAGAGGCACAATACTTACTATTCTCTAACTTGTTGGATTTTTCTCTATAAATGTAATACGTGGAATACTAATAGACAATATTTAGGAAAATTGGGCAAAGAGGAAAATAAACACCCACTGTGTTATAACATGTTGCTGTCCTGCCACACCCTCTCCCAGGGTTTCTGGTATACCTGAATGTGAAAAGAGTATGCCTCTAGGTGTACACCCCTCCATTTGCAAGAAATCTTGATAGAGATGTGTGCACAATGTGGGGGAGCTATTTGGAGGGTGCTGTGTAGCTTCTTCACCCTCAACCCCTGGCTCTGCCAGAATGAGAACCACATCCCAGCATGTCAGAACTACTAAGAAATGTCTAGAGAAGCAAGGGGATGATGAAGGTCTGAGCTTAATGAAGGTGAGGAGGAAGAGACCAGGAGGAGTGGAGAGTGGGCTTTCCCGACTCCCGGGACAGCCCCCTGGGGAGTGTCTTGGGGAGAAGCAGTGCTTTTCAGCTAGCTCTAAAACTTGGCTTGCTTGTTCTGGGGCACTGGGGATCAAACCTTGAGCCTCACTTGTGCTAGGCAAGTATTGTGTCTCTGGGCCTTTTTACTTTTTGAGATGTAGCCTCACTAAATTGTTTAGGTTAGCCTGGAGTCCACTCTAGTCCAGGCCAGCAGTAAACCGTGATCTCTCAGCCATCAGAGTACCTGCAATTACACACAATACAACCTGTGTCCAACATCCATGTTGCTTCTTTATTTATATGCATGTACACTTATGTGGAAGTGGATGTGCATCTGTATGTGTGTCCGTGTGCATGTCAGAGGACAGCATCCTTGTTTTTAAGACAGGGTTTCTAACTGACTTGGAACCTGCCTAGTAAGCTAGGCTGGACTGGCCAGCAAGCCCAGGTATCCGGCTGTGTTTGCTTCCCCAGTGCTGGGAGTACAACAGAGATGACTGCTGCTGCTGCCCCACCACTTCCTACTTCCTACTTCCTCCTCCTCCTCCTCCTCCTCCTCACAAATCTACCTCTGCTTTTTAATGCACGCCACCACACCTGACCCACTTACTTATCTTTAATTGGCAAAAACTGTCCATCTTATGTGGCGCTTTGAGATGTTTCAGTACATGCATAGGTTAAGTAGCATTCGAATCAGGGCCAGCCCACCTGTCTTTAAATTTCTATGATGGAAACATGTAAAACCCTCCCCTAGTTTTTTTGAGATGTGATACACTATCATTATCTGCAATCGCCATGCAGGACATGGCACACCCAGACCTGTTTTCACCTTCGCCTCTTCGCAGGCATGGCCCTCTCAGTGCTGGTTGTCTTGCTCCTGGCTGTACTGTATGAAGGCACCAAGGTTGCCAAAGCCAAGTTGCTCCACAAGACTCTGGAGAACCTGCCTAATACGACGAGCCAGCAGCTCATCCTGGAATCAGACCAGGACTCTACAGGCTCCAGATCAACTCCAGCCGATGGCCACCGCCTCAGGTACAAACCATGAGTAGAAGGATGGCAGGAGCAGTCACTGTCGCCCAGACAGGTGGCTGGGCCAGAGAACCTTAGCCCCACACATAGAAAGATAATTTGGGCCCCAGGGAGTTTTAGTAAGATGAATTAGAGCCCGGGTCTGTGATATCTGGGCCAAAGCGACCTATCAAGCAGCCTCTTGGGTGGGTCCCAAGGATTTCTCAGGGGTCTGCAGGGAACTTTAAACCTATGCTGCAGGCCTGTCACCAGGCTCCAAACACAAGAGAACTGCCATCAGCCTAGTGTCCCACTTTTTCCGTGCTGCAGGCCCCACCTGCATTTCCTACGACCTCACCTATGCTTAACGAGCCTGCCTGTTACATCAGCAGCCACCTTACTGGGTGTCTACACCCTCATAACCATCCAGTGTTTCACTGATAGGAAAACCAGTACTCAAAAGGTTCAGAGATTTAATAGGCTCCCAAGTCCCTGTTCTTTTCATGGCTCCTCCACCTCCTACATTCAATTCAAGGGAGAGACTGGCTTCCCAATGATTGCTTTTTATTCCTTGTCAGACAAAATTGACTATATAAACCATAATGGTTTCTCCATTTGCCTAGGACGGCAGGAAGCTCAGAGCTAAATGTGGTGGGGATGTCTTTGGAGAGAAATCTCCGCTAGGTAAAATATGTTGTGCTGGGGCTCCGGAGCTTTCTGTCCCCAACAAAACACATCTGCTCATCACTGTGTAACTAACTTGTTTCTCTTTTATGCCTAGGTGGTTTTTGTGTTACTTTGGCCAGTCCCTAGTCCATGTCATTCAGGTGGTCCTTGGCTACTTTGTGATGCTGGCTATAATGTCCTACAACACCTGGATTTTCCTCGGTGCGATCGTGGGCTTGGGTGTGGGCTATTACCTAGCCTACCCACTTCTCAGCATGACTCAGTGGGCCAGTAGGTGCTGAGAGCTGGGGCCGCGCTCCAGGCACTGTACTTCCAGCTGCTGTTTCTTATGATGGCCATTGCTCACCTCTTTCCCAGTTCCTGGCAGCATTGAGCTGAAGCCAGCAAATGGTCCATGGAGCTTAGAGGCCATTGGAGCTACCTCCCCTCCCAACCTGGACTACAAAGGGCCCAGGCCTCCTATGGTGCCTTAAGCAAGTGGCTGTGACCAAAGGGAACATGGAGACTGGAACCTGGAGGCAGAGTAGCCAGGCTGTGATCATAGATCTCAGACTGCAAATTAAAATTTTCCAGAGAGCTTCAGTGAGGAAGGCCATGGAACCTGGATACCCTCTTCTGCTTTGTGCCTTAATGCCAGGGGCATCTCCAGTCTTGGGGGATGGACCATGCCAGCACCTTCTCACCTTTTTGCCTTGGAACACATAAAGACTGCCATTGACAAAACAAGTTTTCACTTTGAACTCCTGATTGGCAATTTTGCACATCCATACAAAACAAAGTTCGTAATGAACTCACTGTGTTCATGATGACACCAGTGCTGCAGCAGGTCAGTCTTGTGACCAGGGCCTTCCCCAGTCCTCTTGTCTGCAACACAGAGAACAGCATTTCCTAGCAGAGCTGGCTGCCTCTTACTTCTTACTTGCTGCTGACACCTAATGACTTGGTAGGGAGCTATGAGTCAGTCACTGCAGTACTGATTCGGCAGGGGTGTGTGTGGGAGGGGTGCTGACAGATGCAATAAGCAGTCAAACCAAAGCCAGGTCATGTTAAGAGTTAAGTGAACTCCAGGTATTTGAGCCTTTTCACTTTACAGAAAAAAGTTAAGAGACAGGAATGGGGATACATACCTGTAATCCCCAGGAGGCTGAACCTGGAGATCATGGGCTTGAGGGCAGCCTGGTCTACATAGAGGTCCAGGCTAGCCTGGGATGCATGGTGAAACATACACACACACACACACACACACACACACACACACACACACACACGGCAGTCATTGCTTCATGTATAGCGTCTATATTCCAGTACCTTACTGACTCAATGAAAAGATGGTTTTAAGCTTTGGGAATTATAATCAAATACACTTTAATAAATTTCTATTTTGAACAGTCTGTGGTTGTTGATCTGTTTCTCTCTTTCCCAACAGTACACAGCTCTTATATGTTAGCACTGCGGGAGCTAGGGGAGACCAAGGACTAAGACTGCATGTAGTAAAGACAGCTCTGTGTGCAGAGAAACTACATCTGGAAATGTACCTGTTGGCAGACAGCCAGAGTATCAACTTGGTCACGTTAGGTTCATGTAACAAGTACCTGCTCGTACTGAGGAGGCATCTTGTTTGTTCCTGGCTGTTCAACTCCAAAATAACCACACAAACTGTATTAATTAAATCACTATTAATTAGTTCTAGCTTCATATTGGCTAGCTCTTACATCTTAATTTAACCCATTTCTATTAATCTGTATATCGCCACATAGCTGTGGCTTAACAGTAAGGTTCTGTCTAGGGTCTCTCTCTGGCAGGGCAACATGGCTTCTCCTGACTCCGCCTTCTTTCTCCCAGCATTCAGTTTAGTTTTCCCCAACTACCTCTATTCTGCCTTGTGCAGACTCAAGACAGTTTCTTTATTAACCAATGGTATTCTCAGCATACAAAGGGGAATCCCACATCACCTGCTCTAAGAAGAGTAACTGTCACAAAGACTATAAACACCTGTGATGGCATGACAGCACCTTCCCTTCCTGGGGGGCAGAAGTAACACCCATGGCCATCTTGTCATTTGCAATAAGAAGCAAGAGTCACAGGAAGTGTAGCATGGGGCACCTGTGGGATTGCTTGTTGTGGTCCCTCTGTCCACTGACAGCAGAGTTGTGACAGCCTATGCTAAGGTTCTCAGTTTCAGCTCCCAGGGCACTGCCAGGATAGACTCTCTTATGAGTGACTAGCAGGATCCTCAACCTGATACTCTTTTATTACAGTCATGATATTTGAGATTTTGTGGGGTCTTTATAAAAGTTTTTCCTTATGGTCGATAGAGTGAATATGTGGTTAGACTTTGGTAAAGTGTGTCCTCATTTTAGTATTCTTCAGAGCCAAGTCACAAAAAGTATTTTCCCTACTTAATTTTCTTAAAAAAAAAAAAAAAAAAAAAAACAAAACCAAGCACCTATATAAGTCCTGACTAAGTGCCTGAGAGTTCCAGCCCTTTATGCAGTTAACTCATTCAATCCTCACCACCACACAGGAACTACCTGACTACATCAGAGAGAAGGAAGCTGAAGTGTGAGACAGTCACCTGTCAGATCAGCTCAGATGAGGGGACAGGTCACACAGCACCTGTGGTATACACAGGTGAACAGAGACTGAAGATGTTAAGTCTGTGTTCTTTGTTTCCACGATGGCTGGAGATTCAGATTTGGACGAAGCCAGGAGCCTGAACTTTTCTTTAGTGCTATCAAATCAAGGGCTTGCGCATGCGAGGCAAGTGCTCTACCACTGAGATACACAGCCCTGGAAGCTGTATCCTAGCAAGCAGCATCAGCTCCTTTCCTCTAGCCAAGGACAGGCAGGATGATGGGCAAGAGCCCAGCTTTTGACCAGCTGGGCAGGACCAGAATTCTTGTACTGATCGCTATGTGGAACTGTGGGCAGCTTACTCTAAGCCTGGGGATAACAGGACCAGGGCTCAGCAGTTAACAGCATTTAACTGCTCTTGTAGAGGACCTGGGTTTGGTTCTCAGCTCTCATAAGTAGCTCATGTAATCCTGGGGATTACAGGTCTGTGTCCCCATTCCTGTTTCTTAACTTCTTTCTATAAAGTGAAAAGGCTCAAATACCTGGAGTTCATGTGACTCTTAACATGACCTGGCTTTTGTCTGAGTGCTTACTGCACCTCAGTCAGCACCCCTCCCCCAGCACATCCCTGCCGAATCAGTACTTCTGAATCAGACTGTCTGGAATGCCCAGTGCCAGAGGCTCTGCTGCTTTCTTCTGCCTCTGCATCCACACGGTACACAGACACACATGCAGGCCAAACACCCATACACATCAAATAATGAATCTTTTTTAAAATGGGGATAACCATGTCTTCTTCAATGACTGGCACTGTACAGACTGTCTCATTGCTACCAGCCACCGCAGAAGACACTGTTATCCATACTTTACAGGGAAAACTGAGGCTTAGAGCTTGAAGTAACTTGTTTAAATAACCGTTTAATACAGTCTTTCTCGAAGCTTCCTAGGCCAAAATCTGGGAGTCAAGCACAAAACCTGCAAAATGCAATAAAATTCAGGATGCAGTCTTAAAAACATTTAAAATCATGGAACTTTTTTTTTCTTAAATTACTCCTTTTGGAGATTGGCTGCATGGCCTTTAGAAGATCCTAGAATAGTAAAAGGCTACATGTATTTTCTCACTGCTCTTCTCTGCAGTAGTGTTGGCCCCTGGGGCTCACAGAACCCCTCAGGTATCATAAACAGTGGGTATTACAGACCCCTGCTTCTCTTCCCTGAATAGCTTCTTAGCCTGCTGTAGAGCCCACAGATATCAGCATAGGGTGGATAAGGTCCTCATACAGCTACAATGTCCTCAGCCTTATGCAGCTGTTGTGAGCTGGAACTGCAGTCTGTGACTCTTTAAATGCCTTCAAGTTCAAGGTCAGTGCCAACAGAAATATGTCACAGTGTTTTTATGCACATTAACTCACCAAGTTACAACTCCCATCCTTAGGATCCCAAGAAAGAGCATGATAGCCCTAGAAACCAAACTCAGTTTCTCCTAAAGGGTCCAGGCCAAGTTTTATTGTAGGCATTTATTTTAGTCTTGTTAATTCCAAATACTTATTGACCTCTAAGATTTAAGGCAGAGATAGAAGATACATGTCCCAGAGCCACAGGCCAGGCCAGCATGATCTCTCAGTTCTCCGAGGAGACCCCTCCCCAGACAACACGGCCTGTTGCTGCAGCTCTGGTGAGCCCTGGGAGAGCAGGAGGGTCATGGGTCAACTTGAGAATGAATGGCTGCAGGTGACCCTCCTAGCCCTTCCTCCACAGTAGAGCCACTCACTGAGGGCTCGTACACCACCAGTTCTGCAGACAGGCTCATGGTCCTCTTCACCAGGTCAGGCAGGGGCTCAGATGACAGCTAACCCAACGTCTGAACCACTGTCCTCAGAATGTCTACCAGGACCTCACCCTGAAGCTTGCCTTGATCTGAGGCCGGCTGTGCAAAATCATGCTCTGGAAAGGGCTGGGAGAGAAACCTGCATGCCTGTTTCCTAGGTCTTCACCCCAGCCAGTCAATGTCATCGTCATCATCATCATCTCCAAAAAGGGGTGTTGGGGGCGGGCGCCCCTTCATGCTCTGACAAAACAGGAAAGAGAGGTCAGTTCTCATATATCCCTGCCCAGGTGGCTTCCTGCCTATGAGGGGAAGTGGTCTAATGGCTGTCCTGCCTCTGGCTGGAAAGGAGATGAACTAGAAGGACAGGCTTGGTGGCTAAAGAACTGATCCAGACAAAGCTGGGACAAGCAGGCATTGAGGGAAGCCATCTTTCGACAGAGACAAAGACCAACTGCTTGGCTGATTTTGTAATTTATTTGTGAAATATGTATTGATTGGGCAGATATGCCAACTTAACAAGTTTTGTTTGGAAAAAGAAGGTTCATTAAGAAGCGATGGGGAAAGAGAAAGAAGCAGAAGCAAAGCACCCTGGGAGAATTAAGAGAAGATGACAGAAGTTCGGAGAAGTACAATCACATTCAAAAACCAGTGTGGCCTGAGGTGGCCAAAGATGTGGATGTAGAGGCATGTCCAAGAGATAAAGAAAGGCCACAAAGGCAGAGCCATGCTCTCTTTAAAGGGGCTAAAGGGTTCTAGGACCCTCGAAGAGTCCCAACCAAAGGATACTGTGTTACTGGTTCAAGTCCTCGGCTTGGTACTGTTGGAAGTGGTGGAAAGCTTTTGTGATGGGCCCAGTAAGAGGACTCAGGTGATTATAGGCTGCCCTCAAAGGGACAATGGAATCCAGACCCTCCTTCATCACTCTTTCACTTCCTGACCACTGAGAGAATGCTTTTTCTCTACACAAGTCTAATAGCAGTGGAGTGAACCCACTGTGGACTAAAACCTCTGAAACTTTGAACCAAAATATACTGTCTCTTTGAACACTTCTGGTGTCAATAACAATGCTGACTAACACTAGGAGCCGAGTGGGAGGTTCTCTTCCTCTTTCCATGATGGAAGCTCTGGCCTGTCATCTGCTTTTGGTAGGGGAAAAGGACTGGAAGCTACAGACATGCAGAACATAGAACTATAGACATATTAGGAGAAGGTTAAATGAGAATATGGAGTATTTTTCTGAATACCCAATAAACAGATGATTAACTTGATGGAACTGGCAGTAATACCATCAATATACTGCTCGCCATTTGGGATATTCATCTTTATTTTCTATGCAGAATCTGTAGTTAGTATTCTCAAATGCAAAGTGAATTCTCAGGAAGGTATGCTAATGGAGTAAGATGACACCTTCTCTGCAGGCAAAAGGAAGGGCTCTGGTTCATCTGAGTTAGGTTCCAGATGTCATTGCCTTCGGGCAAAAAGCAAAACCCACTCCAGATGGATGGTATAGAAGGACAATAGGCTTTTCCCATGTTCAACCTCATAGTTCTTTCCTGGATCTATTGCTCCTGTCTCCTCCACACACTTTATGACAGTGAAATTCCCACTCGTCCAGTGTCAGATGGACAAGCAGGGGCTCCAATCCTGGCTCTCTCGACAACTTCCCTTGTGGTCTCTGACTCTCCTGCTCCCTAACTTGAAGCGACACTGTCAACACTGAATCCATCTGCTACTTAGGTGTCAAGATAACAAAACAGGCAGCAGACGGAAGTGGGCCAGGTGAATAGTTCTTAAAAACAAGTGGCCCAAGAGAAGCCTGGGCTCAGTCCTGTCTACCATTAACCTCCTACAAATGACTTTCTAACCTGTTTCTTTTTCTACGGAGGAGGAGAGCCAACAAGTTGGATTCAGAATCCTTCCCACCTTCCCTTACTACAAACAGGACTGATTCCCTAGGGGGCAGAGATCATGATACCCTATTAGGATTAC